GCCCTGGTTCCAGAGCCAGCCAGGACAGTACAGTAAGCGAGATGAAATGTACCTAAGCAGCCTCGGCAGCAGGCTGGAGCCATGTTCAGCGAAAGTAATTTAATTAGTGTTGATCATGACTCCAGATGATGGTGATTTGATAAGGAATAATTTAGTACTTAACAGCCTTTTACATGCACCAACTCCTTGTGGGAAGGTAAAGCAAATTGCACAAAATGAATGTGCTGCTTCCACTTGTGACGGTGCCAGTGAGCTGGAAAACTGCCTGTTCACAGACGCTCAGGCTCTCAGCCCTGTGATGAAATACCCAACAGGGTCTCAGCTCAGCCCTCTGTGGTGGGAGTCTCTGTACTACCCTTACTGAAGAATAATAAATAACGGAAGTCATTTTTGTGATCTAAAATCTCGAGGAAGCAGAAAAGTGAAAATGAGGAAAATAAAGTAGCTCTGGTTCTTGTGCAAAAGGTTGACGATCTTAGGCTGGCTTCTTTTTTCCCCTCAACACAGCAATTAAAAAAAAAATCCTAGCATTTGGCTTACGACTAGAAAAAAAAAGTCATGATTCCAAGGGCACACAGTGATTAAGAGGCCCACACACGGAGAGAGTAGGGGAGCCCTAAACTTCTTGGAGAACCTGTGAGAATCCTTGAGTGTTGGCATCTAACGAAAAGGAAGACATTGTTAGTTTTCTTAAAAACGTCTTTACAAGTACTGGACCTGTTTCAGTGCAGCACACACTGGATCCAGGTGTTGCCAAGCATCATAGTGGATTTGAAATTTGCCCGGTTGTGAGAATCACCTAGAAAATTTTATAAGATACAGAATCCTGATCTATATACCAGCTTTAGTGAATCAGTTTCTGGGAACAGGGTATGAGCTTGCTAGGGCTGCCATAACAAGGTACCACAAACTGGGTCCTACCCTAATGACTCCATCTTAACTAATTTTCCAAATAAGGTCACATTCTGAGGTGGGGTTAGGACTTCAGGATAAAATTTGGAGGGGACACAACTGAACCTGTAACATATGGAGTATGGGAATGCCTGTTTGTTTTTTTTCAGAATTTCCCTCGGTAATCTGATGATTGGCCAAATTTGGGGAACCCCTGTTTAGGGATCTACTTGCCTCTGATAGCACTTTGGGAATCCTTATGTGTTCTTTCTTCTAAAGTCACTTTGGGAAACTCATGGGGCCAGTCTGAAAGCACTAGAGCTCCAGATGGTGTATCTACAAGGATGGGTCATGCCTTTTGCTTCTAGGTTGATATTAATGGACATTTTGATAGGAGGCTACTGTCCTGCTAGCAACCATTCCCAACGGTATCCCAGACTTGTCATTCCTCCCGTGAGTCATCTGGAATTATTTATTATGTGAAGTTGAAGCACATGATCAGATGTCTCTGCTGGAAGAGGAGGCCACCAGACATTTTCAAACATCTTAATTTGTATAGCATTGCTTGATGCTTCTCATACTTTTAAATCTTTTTATGGAGATACACATTCATTACAATGCAAAAATCTTAAGTGTATAACTTGATGAATTTTACATAGGTATATACTCATATATACACCGCCAAGAGCAAGATATAAAATATTTACAGCTCTGTAGTAGGTTACTAGTGCCCTTTCTCAGTCATGAACACTCCCATCCACCAACAGAAGGAGATTCTTTCATTATCCATTAGTTTGGTCTGTACTTGAAATTCATATACTGTGTACTCTTTGTATACTCTTTTGTGTTTGTCTTCATTTACTCAATTTACCATCTGTGAGACCATCCACATTTCTGCATGTGTCATCAATGTGTTCCTTGTTAATTCTTGTGGAATATTCCACTGTATGAATAAGCCACAATTTACTCATCCATTTTTCTGCTAATGAACATTGGAATTTTTCTAGTTTTTGGTATTGTGAATAAAGCTGCTATGAACATGTACTTTAGTAAACATATTCAGTCCTTTCTCTTTGATATCTACCTAAGATTATAGTTACTGGATCATAGTGGAGATTTATATGGAGACTTGGTAGATACTTCAAAAAGTTTTCCAAAGTGTTTTTGTCAGCTTATACTCTTAGCAGCATATATAAGCAGTTCTTATTGCTTTAGGTCTTCTTCATATCTTGGTAATGCCAGTCTTTTTCAGTTTAGCCATTCTAGTGGGTCTATAGTGAAAACCTCGTGTGATTTTATTTGCAGTTTCCTGATGAGTAAAGATGCTGAATACTTTTTCATATATGCTTGCTTTGTTGCTCATTTGTTTGTCATTTGGGTATCTTCTTTTATGAACTGCCCGTTTGAGTCTTTTGCCCGTTTTAATTGGGTCTCTTGTTTTCTTTTATTAATTTGTAGCAATTCTTATTACGTTGAATATGATTTCTTTGTCAGATCTTTCTATAGCAAGTATTCTCTTGGTGTCTGTAACTTAGTGTCTTGATGAAGAGAAGTTCTTAATTTCAATGAAGCCTAATTCGTAGATTATTTTCTTTTATGGTTAATGCCTTTTGCATCCTGTTTACTAACCTTTTCCTACACTATGGTCCCAAAGACTTTTAAAATATAGTAATGTTGAATATGGCAGTCTCTGGTATGTTTGATATTTTGATAAATATGATAAACTTTGCATCATACGTGGCAATTTATTAGCTTTTAAGTTCTTATCCATTTTCATTCATATAATTTAGATCTCATCTCTCAGGTATAATGATTTGTTACTTAGTTGAATGGCAAAGTGAGTTCCTTTGATGTTGCTACTGCTTTTTCTTAGGAAAATATAAAACCTACTACTTAATCTAAAGTGCTGAACCAGGGTATACACATTTTATTGTATATGTTCAAGTAAGTAATAAACAGTGGAAAACTATTTGTTAAGAAAGCAACAAATGCATGGTTAAGATATTACAAGATTGCATCATACAATATTTGTCATTCTAAGAAGTAGCACACACACACACACACACACACACACAGGGAGAGAATTTTCTTATAGAATACTACTTTAAATTTTTTGTGATTTTTTCCCCACATTTAAAAAACATTTCATCTTGCAAATTCAGGTAAAAGTAAAGAAAATAATGTAGTGAACTCCCACCTATCCATCAGTCAGCTTTTAACATTTATCAACATTTTTCTATTTGATTCTTCCCTCATACATTTTTTTTCTAGAGTATTTTAAAGAAAATCCCAGAGCTTATTTTTTATCTGTAAATATTTTATGAAGCTTTAGCTTTAAACCTTTCTTTTTGGTACAACTGCCATTTCATTATCACATCCAACAAAATTAACAATAATTTCTTAAACATCTAATACCTAGTCCACATTGAAATATCTTATTTGTTGGAAAGGTGTCTCTTTCAATTGGTTTGTTCAAGTCAGAATCCAAACAAGTCCTCATGTTACAATTGATTCTTGAGGTTCTTAAGCCTCTTCTATCGTAACGTTTTATAAATTATAACTTTCTGACTTGGTAAAGTTAATGAACATACGTACCCTTTGCATATGAAGAGACATGTAATCTCCCCTTTGTTTCTAACTCTCTACTTTGAGTAGGTATATTAAACACACATTAAATTAGAAAAAAATACTTTGAAATAGACCACTCAGCGAAATAATTGTATTATTATCTATTAAGTTTTCCTTAGACAACTAATTTAGATGAAACTTGTTTACTTCTGTGGCACATTTGTTTTCTACAATGTTTCAGACGTCTCTTGAGTACCACTGAACATTTTTGTCAAAATTATGTGCTTATGTAAACAAATAGCATTTATCTTCCTGGAGCTTGGTAGCTCTTGATATCAATTTCTTATACTAAAATTATATATGACGTTCAAGTTAGTACAAGTTCATAATGATGTAATATCATAATCAAGATTGAATGGCATCATAAGCCACAAAGCTTCTCTTGTAATATCTTCCTTTATAGTATATACACTTAATATTTTGTTTTAATCCCAGGTTTTATAGGACTTGGAGTAACTATCCACAGTGTGTCCTTCTTGTGTTTATCCTTGATAATTCATACCTGTGCAAATTGTATGAAAATAAAATTCATTCTCATGTCTATTTTCCCCTTATCTTTTTATTCATTTTCCATTTATATTAAAACTTCAATTATTCTGAGGATCTCTAATATGCATTTATTCAGTTTCATATAGAAGAATAAAAATATATAATCTTATTTATTTATTGGTTTGAAAGCTATGATTCCACCCCAAATATACATATTTCTTCATATTTTATGATATTGTCTTTATATTATATTGAACAGTAATGACATATGACACTAAGTCATATGAAAAAGGAGGAAACATCATTTCATATAGAATAATTGTTTTATGGTAGATTATATATGAAAAATAACTTTAACATATTTCTCACAATGTATCTTCACACTTGTGGTAAGTAGTTAGGCAAATAGTTTTATGTGTATTTTTATATATGAGCACTGGCCTAAAAAGAGGTCGAGTTTTTTGTCCTTTTGTCCGAAGTATCATTAGTTACCCTGAGAACTGCATGCATCTGGATTTTCTTTCTCATAGTCCAGTTGTTATTCCATTAAACCATTACTATTGGTACATTTGAGATATTTTCCTTTCAATAATACTTAAATTTATGTTCCTGTCTTCAGTTAATTCTTGGATAATCAGCTGTATTTTTTCTGCTTTAGTCATTGGAAACCTTTCTGAAATGTTTTCAAGCTTACTTTCTAAAAACTTCTAGTATTGTCAATATCCGCTAAACCAATTACAAGTAGTCCATCTGACTTTAAGTAATGAGAGAGAGTTTAAGCATGCATTTCGTTATGCAGTAAAAGCAAACAACGAGTATATGGAGATCCTCCAGAATCTTTTCTTGCATGAAATTCATCCAATGTGATTTTTCTTATGTATGAAAGTTAATATGAAATGTTAGTGACATTTTAACCGAGAGGAGTAGAACAGATTAGTGTACTGAATTCCTAACTATTTCATTTTTGTGGGTATTTGTGTTTTGTTTTCTAGTGGCTTTCCATGGCCTCCCACTGAAAATCAAGAAAGAACCCCACAGTCCATGTTCAGAACTTGGCTCTGCCTGCAGTCAAGAACAGCCCTTTAAATTCAGCTATGGAGAAAAGTGCCTGTACAATGTCAGGTAAAGCAATCAGGTGTATAGAGAAGGCCTGGTGGTTCTTATTGAAACACAATTCCAGCATAATATAAAATCTCAAGTCATATTTTATGAGTTACACCTGCAGCATATAACAAGCTAATTAGGTTATGTGTTTAGCAGAATTCGGAAGGACCATTTACTGTCTGATTACATACTTTCAGAATCATTTTAATTAAAGGTCAAGTCAGAGACCTATCTTTTTTTTTTTTTTTTGGGGGTTTTGTTGCTGTGTGGGGGCTTTCTCTAGTTGCGGCAAGGGGGGCTACTCTTAGTTGGGTTTTGCAGGCTTCTCATTGCAGTGGCTTCTCTTGTTGCAGAGCACAGGCTCTAGGCGTGCAGGCTTCAGTAGTTGTGGTGCACGGGCTCAGTAGCTGTGGCTCATGGACTCTAGAGCGCAGGCTCAGTAGTTGTGGCGCACAGGCTTAGTTGCTCCGCGGCATGTGGGATCTTCCCGGACCAGGGCTCGAATACATGTCCCCTGCATTGGCAGGCGGATTCTTAACCGCCGCGCCATCAGGGAAGCCCCCAGAATCATTTTAATGCAGTCATTTTTATCCAGATCATGAGTTACTTTTCTACTGTAGTGATGCACTATGGGATTGAAAAGAGGGACTGGGGACTTCCCTGGCCGTCCAGTGGTGAAGAATCCGTACTTCCACCGCAGGGGGCACTGGTTCAATCCCTGGTCGGAGAACTAAGATCCTACATGCTGTGCGGTGTGCCCAAATAAATAAATAAATAAACAAGTAAAAGAGAAAGGTGCTTCCTGTGTCTATCTTCACTTAAAAAAAAGAGAGAGAGAGACAAAAAAAAAAAGAGAGAGAGAGAGAGAGGTTCTTACTTTGCATGCATGAAAGTTCTCATTAGAAAGAAAGCATTATGCACTTTAGATAGAGTGTGTAGGAAAAAATGAACCATTTGGCAGGTCTAAGCAGTACATTAGTTATCTGACAGGTTTTGCAGATGATCTATAAGATGCATTCATGGACAATTGCAGTAAAGTTAGAATTTTATAAGGCTTAGCAGAGGCTATTATCTATTAAAAAGCCAGTTGTTCCTTCGGATGATAATAAAGGGGGGTGGAGCAGTAGAAGTGCATTGTTCATTTGTTGGAAAATTTGATAACATGTATGTTCATTAAGAACCCTTCATAGTAAATTGCATTCTGCTGCTTTTCATATCGGCCTCTACTTGCGTACAGAAAAAGTTGGCTCTGTATATTGTATGTTATTACTCTCAATTATAGTAGAGACGTACGTAGTTCTTTAAAGGAGTTAGTTTAGAAACTTATAAAAATGATTACAAATATTTGTGGGCTTATAAATTATGTTGATTCCAGTTCATAATACGTTATAATCCAAAGGAGTCTTTTATTTCCTCAGATTTTTTTTACATATATTCTTTTTTCTTTTTCGTGGAATAAGTTTTTTTCCTTTTTTTAAAAATTGAAGTATAGTTGATGTACAATATTATATAAGATAGAGGTGTACAAGATAGTGATTCACAACATTTAAAGGTTATAGTCCATTTATAGTTATTATAAAATATTGGCTATATTCCCTGTGTTGTACAGTATGTCCTTGTAGCTTATTTTATGCCTAGTAGTTTGTACCTCTTAATCTCCTACCCCTGTGTTGCCCCTCTCAACTTCACTCTCCCCACTGGTAACCACTTGTTTGTTTTTTATATCTGTGAGTCTGCTTCCTTTTTGTTATATTCACTAGTTTGTTGTCCAAGATAGTTAAGATTTGAGAAACTTCGATTTGTGCAGTCTCACAGTACCTGACCAGTGCTTGGACATTCTATTACTATTTGTTCTTGCCAACTTGTCTTTTATATCTGTTTTTCTAGGAGGTTCACCAGAGCCTGAAATGATGAGGCAGTTCAGTTGAACTTCAAAGCTTTTATAAAACAGATCTCTTGTAGAAGCCAACTAATAAAACTTACTGAGTTCAGATAAAACAATATTGATCAATCTGAGTTTTATTTTTATCATGTTTTTAATTTTTGCATTTTCTCCTTAAGAGTACTGTGTATTCTCAGAGTAATTATTTAACATATGGAGGAATTTTAAATTAATAAACCAAATAGGTATAGAATTGCCATTGCATTTTAGCATTGATCAGAGGTGTGACTATGAAATAACTGCTGCTTTATGGACTTAGAAAGAAGAAAGACATATCTGACTTTCATAAATTAATGGTAGAAGAATTACCTGAATATTTTGAGGTTCTTCTTGGGGACCAGTAATTCCCACAGTGATATATGGATTAAATTTTGTTATTTCCATTTCTATACAAACAGTGTAACTCAATACAGCATTTCATAAGGGAAAAAAGTAATATTCTAGGACAGGAGATGTATCATTTTTTCTTTTTATGTGGGAATGAGACATGTGAACCATTTTATAAAAGAAGTGGGTTCACATTCAGAAATATTGGTAAGTGAAATAGGTAGGACCAAACATAATATGAGTTCCACTGACTTTGCTTTAAAGCAAGGAAGACTTATGCAGCACATACTCCTTCACTTCTATAAAGTATTTTTGCACTTGGATGTTATTCTGTTATATAGATGGTGCAACAGGGTAAATTATTACATAAGTCAGTTTTTTTTTAAGTTTCTTTTTTAAAGAAAAATATATATTAATGAATGCTTTTTATTTTAAAATGAAATACAGTATTTTAATCTAGAACATCTTTTTTTGTTCAGAAATTTAAGTACAATTCGTTTTCAATAAAATATTTTTTAGATTACAAAAATTAGTTAAATCATATTCCTGAGAGCTACGCTAAAGAAAGCAACTTAAATTCATAATGTATATAAAAACAAGCTTACTCATTGTATTATTTTGTAACTGTGTTCAGAAGTTAGACGATAACAGGATTTTACTCTTAAGAACATTATTTTGTACCTATTCTTATACTCCAAGAAAGTTTAAAGATATCAGAGACATAAATCTTTATTAATTTGCCTCATAAACCTTTATTATCCTATGTGAGGAAATTAATGCCAGGCGTCATTTATTTTACATTAAAAAAATGACAATAAGGCAAAAGCATGGCCTTCTTAGAGTTCTACCACAAATAAAGGCGAGCCAGGTATGATCCGCATCTCGTTAAACTGATGTGAGTCCTTATTCTAAAATCTTATGTAATATAGAAGGATTATAATATCAGAAATATTTAATGATCTAGAAAAGATCTATGAAACTTGCTTAAGGAGACATATCAAGAATAGATAGAAATAATATGCCACTGCTTTCATTGACAGAGATGTTCCTTATACTGTGTTGTTTGTATATATATTAAAAATAGATGTTTTATATTTATGCTGTTACCAAGTTATACATTCATTATCCCATTTTCTTTTTAAGTGTGTGACAGTTTCAAAGATTACGTGTTCTAGAGCTGCGGAAACCAAAAAACATGCAATTCCAACTTCCTTAAGGCTTAAGCCTAAAATATTTTTTCTACCCTTGGGTTGGGGGAAAAAAAAAGTTTTAATTGCTCCCAAGAAGCACATGTTCTCTTTTCTTTCATTCCTTGGGTAGTGCCTATGATCAGAAGCCACAAGTGGGAATGAGGCCCTCCAACCCCCCAACACCATCCAGCACCCCAGTGTCCCCCCTGCACCATGCGTCTCCCAATTCAGCTCACACTTCGAAACCTGACCGCGCCTTCCCAGCTCACCTCCCTCCGTCGCAGCCCATTCAAGACAGTAGCTACCCCATGGACCACAGGTAACTGCAAGTACCATTTTAAAAAAATTTTTGGTTAGAGTATAGTTGATTTACAATGTTGTGTTAGTTTCTGCTGTACAGCAAAGTGGTTAAGTTATACACATACATATATCCAATGTTTTTTTAGATTCTTTTCCCATATAGGCCATTACAGAGTACTGGGTAGAGTTCCCTGTGTTATACAGTAGGTCCTTATCAGTTACTTATTTTTTATGTAGTAGTGTGTATGTGTTAATCCCAATCTCCCAATTTATCCCTTCTCCCACCCTTACCCCCTGGTAACTGCAAGTACCATTGAAAAAAACAAAAAACAAACCAAAAAAACAACTGTTTTTAGCATTCTTGGAAGAAAGTCCTATTACTACCAATTCCTAAGACCTATAGTAAATTCAAGGGGAGTGTATTAATTTTGCACATCTGTGCAAAATATTTTTAGGAAGAGCTTGCTCTATCTGTCTTTAGCTATAAATAATTTGTGGAGAAGGTCATTTATAAACATTCATTTATAAACATTTAAATTGGTTGCTAAAATGGAAAATTAATCTATATACTGACATTTGAACATTTCCCTTTCACTTTGCTTGAATTAAATTGCTTCACTTAAACTTTAAATCAGATCATCCCATTTTTATGAGCATATGTGTGTACTTTTTCTATAAAGTTAGGAGACTAATTTTAGTAGGTGGCTTACAGAATTAGGTTCCTTACCTTAGATGAGTGGTTTAGCTGTACATAGTTTTGCAGAAGAAAACTTATTTGATAGAACTCTTTCCTCCTTTCCAAGTAATGAATATTTAATGTCAGTAGAGGCATGACCCTGAACGCTGAGAATATAAAGAGGTAGAGACTCAATTAGTATTACTTAGAAAGGAATAATGCAAGACACAACATAGAGCTAAAGAGAATGTTACGGTGGATAATTCTCGACTCCTAGAGATGAAAAAATTCATATTGAAATAAAATATTGGAGGACCTTTAGAGGCCTTAATAATACAACTTAAAACACAAGTCAATTATGTATAGCATCCTTTCTTCCCCTTCTACCTTGTACTTATATAGAGTGAGTGGTGTGCTGGTAAATGGTTAACAACGGGCTCTATGGGAGTAAACCCAAGGACCTTGATCTATAGCATTTGATGCGTCTGTGATGTAAATATTGCCCCCATGGCAGACTCCAGGGTATCACTGTGACAACCCTGAATGTGGAATTGCAAAGAGATGTGTAGTAACATGCCATGAAACAGTATTTCTACCAAACAGATACAATAGACATAACCTCTAGAGCATAATTAGTATAATTAGTAGTAAAATGTAGTAAAAGAATTTGGAAGTGATGAGTTTTGAGTGTTTTCTGCCTTTGTTTTAAATATAATTTTTTAATAATTTTAAACTTACATAATTTAATTCTTAACAATGGCTGTGTTTAAGAGTTGGCTCCCATAATTCCTGAAAATTTAACAAGAAGCCCGTGCAAATTGGCTCTGACACACCATTATAAAAATAGCTCAGCCAGAGGAATCTCCCAGATCAGCAGAGGAAACCAGAAGATGTGCCACTGGCAACTTTCGGAAAATAAGGCAATACTCAGATCTGCTTTTTATAGGTTATTTAATGGGACTCAATCTCAAGTTCAGTAACTCTTTTGATATGAAGGTAAGATGAAAGCATTCTTTCCAATGTGAGACCAAGTAATAACTTTCCTACCTTGGTTTCCATCCCTGAGTCCTCTTGTGCGTTAGTTATGAAATGCTTCCCATTATCTTTCCCTTCTCACCCTGTGGACTTGAGACTTTGTCCGAGTGTAATGGTATGTGCATCTGTGTAAACAGTTTTGTAAATACAGATGAAAGACATCTTATTGCCGGGTGGGCCATTAACAGATGCACATTGTGCAGGGCTGAAAGGGAAAAAGAGGGCGACCAAAGAAAAGCAAGTTTTGTTTTGTCTACTTCTGGTGACTTCCCAGAGTTCTTGATAGCGTGTCTCACACCTCAGATGAGGGCCAGAATTAGAGATTGCATAGTCGGTGCTCTGTGCAGAATAGTTCTTTCTTATGGGAGGTGACTGCTGAACAAGCAGTATGGCTGTTTTTAGGTGACCTAACCTGAAATGCTGTAGCCAAATCCATTTTAGTTTCTCTACTTGAACTCAAATATTTGAGACTGCGAACAGCCGGCCCGGAACTAGAAGAGGAAAGCTCAGGGTCTTTTCCCACTGCCCCCCACTGAGTGTTGAGGACAGCACCAGCTGGCCGATCCCAGGAAAATCTCTGAAGCCGTATGCTTCTGAGGAGGATTTCTTGGAGAGCTCTAGCCAACAAATGACAGTCCCTCAGTTATAATTGGCAAATTTGCTCTGGGAACAGATCCTTTCCCCCAAATAGCCCCATCCAGCCGAGGCACCCCACCTCACTCTGGGAATGCTTCATGGCCAACTGGGCTGCACCCCGCTTCCTTTCCTCAGCCTCATTCTGCTCCTTGGGCCAGCCCTTTGGCACTTTTTCCTGAACCCACTGTGCAGGAGCCCTGTCTCTTTTTCTCAATGTTTCCCACCACTTAGGCACTGTTTTTCTTTACCCAGGAGCTCATCAGCACGCCCTCCTTACCCATGAACTCTCTCCAGAAAGCTTCTGGAGTCGCTTTCTCTTTACAATGGGTCATAAGAATGATACCACAAACTTGTAGTTTCTTATGAAGCACGTGTGTTTGATATATTCCTGGTCCTCAGTGAGTACCAACTGGAATCATGTTGACTTGTGAAAACAAATGGCTTGATTTTTCAACAAAGCTTTTAGTAGAAGTATTATTATCTTCTTTTGAAGGCTTCCCAAGTGAGCTGGTTTCTTTTTTTAACTTCAACTTACAGTTTTCTTATTCATTCCTTGACAGTTCTTAATGATAATTTGTTTCTTTTTTTGGCTAATGAAATAAGCAAGCGAAGGGAAGTGAATGCAGTGCCAGTCAGCCTATTTTGCTATATCTGAGTTTCTGAGTTTATTTTCTGCAGGTGTAGGTGGAATTTCAGTGCTTTCCATGGCAGCCAGAGAGGCTAGAGTTGAATCACAGGGTGGAGTGTTCTTAGAAATGCTAAAGCAATTGTCTTGCCATTCTTTCGCTTTTACCTTGTTTTCATTTAACGTTACCAAAATTAAATGTTAACTTTCCAAATTAAAGTCTGAGGAATGCTTTGGGGGGCGGGTGCAGGGGAGTTAATAGGCTTACATTTGCTCATAGAAATGTTGGATAGGTTATTTTTAAGCACTCCTGGGCATGTTTAGAGCGGTTAAATCTTTAATTAATCCACATCTTTGCGGTGGGTCAATGATATTAGGATGAGAAACACAGAACTGAACTGATGAAGTGATTAGCCAATCAGTACACAGGATAACCAGGAAGGAAGGAGCGTAGAGCTTCACTCTCAGCCTTCTGCCAAGGCCTCAGAACTTCCCCATGACCTAACAGCACGACCTGTCCCAAAGCTATGTGATGCATGCATGTTCCTTCCATCATTGGAGGTCTGCTGTAATATTTTATGCTTATTTTTATCAACTTGATATTTTGTTTGAAAATCTTGGAAGCCAGTGAGTTCTGTGTTGCTGTTTGACAGTAAAGAAGTAGTCTTTTACAACTAGCTTGGATTTCAGTCTCTATAATATTTCCCAGTTTAATTTCTCACTAGAATACAGTGTTATTTAGGACATTGTTGAATATGTAAGAGTCCTGCACATTTGAGAAGAAAGTCATTCCCTTCTCGCTCCCTTGATAACTGATGGTAAGGGAAGGAAAACCAATAAGGAGGTTTTTATGTGGTTGATTTTGTTTGTTGGTTGGTTAGTTTGATAACAGAATTAAAAGCTGGAGGCTGCAGTTTGAAATCAGATTCTTTCTGGTTCCCCTGTTTCGTTTTGTTTTTCTTGTCTATAATTAATTTGAGACCCTCTTAATAAGGAAATCTGGTAAATGATCCAGTTGATTTCTAGTTGGGCATTTTAACTGTTAGAGTGTGTTATTTCTTGCAAACACTACAATGCTCTCCTAGCCTTCCCCGAAGCACATCTTTAACTTTTTGTCAGGTACTGAAATAGTGCTGAATGGAACCAATTAGAAGGGGAACACAAGGTGTATTATGATTAGAAATCACAGTGCTACTGACCCAGGAAGGAGATATCTAGTCTTTGGTAAAGATTTACACTTCGGGTCAGCTGGTGTCATGTTCATTAACTAGAAGTTAAAAATCGTGCCAGTATTTTTAAAGGGTATTCCTTGTTACTATTTTATTTGAAACATGCTCTCTTATTTCCCAGATTTCGCCGCCAACTTTCTGAACCCTGTAATTCCTTTCCTCCTTTGCCGACAATGCCAAGGGAAGGACGTCCCATGTACCAACGGCAGATGTCTGAGCCAAACATTCCCTTCCCACCTCAAGGCTTTAAGCAGGAGTACCACGACCCAGTGTATGAACACAACACCATGGTTGGTGGTGCGGCCAGCCAAAGCTTCCCCCCTCCTCTGATGATCAAACAGGAGCCCAGAGATTTTGCATATGATTCAGGTAGGCCTATGCTTTAAGTTATGTTTAAGATAAATCTTTTCACTTGCTTGTCAGTTTCATTAGTGTTGGCCACAGATTGGGTGGCTCCTGACCATTTTTTGGTGGAATCTTTCTGATTTATTCCTTCTTTGAATCTTTCTCTTTATGTGAAGGGTTGGCCTGTCAAACCATTTTGGCATGAGCCAATGGATGAAATAGTGTCTAGAAATGAAACCTGTCCAAAGAAGAGTACAATTTGTAAAATTACGCACACTCTCAGCCCAAGAGAGTAACATGATCATTCTTTTCTTGATTCTGGGCTTTCTTTCCATTTGCTCCTGCTGCACTGTTTAATAACAATATTTACAGAAAGCAATATTCTTCTGTACTGAGTAACTTATTGCTTATAACTGTTTGTTTGTTTCTTTATTCTTGTGGCAAGATTCCAAGGGTCCGGAAGTAAGGATTCTTCCATATTGGGAGAGGGATAGCAAAAATAGCAATAATAGGCTTAGCTCTAGTCTCACTGAGCCCGAAAGATCTCACTAAGTAGTACGTCAAGATGGAGAATTGGGGTTTCCCGAAAGTAAAAAGCACTTATGTCTATTGTTAATGTTACCACCAACTTTGCCAATGTTTGACCTTAAGAACTCAGAAAAATTACTTAACTATTCTGTGCTCATTTCTCTTGTTATAATCTCAAAATCAGGACACCTGCCCTTCAGAAATCTCAGGAATTTGGGGAAAAAGTGTGAAATAAAAGCTAATGCTTCTAAGAAGGGCACCAGGCAAAATATTACTAACGTTATTGTAAGCATGGTCAGTAGATGGTTGTGGACTTAAAAGTATTTGAAAACAATGTGACTTCCTTTCATCTGGATACAAAGTTGTGGATGTTCTTTAGGAAGGAACTATTGCTTCTCTAGGCATAACTCTGCTGAGTTTTTCTATTGGTTCTACTTGAGGAAAGAAAATTGTCTCCTGGTCTTAAGTTGCCAACTTGCATAAAGTTACCTGTTTTATTATAAACTGGTCTTAAAGCTCAGCAAGAAGGAGCCCTACCACTGAGAGTCTCCCTCTGGCCACCCTTCCTCATTGGCCAAGAAGTTGAAAAGGACTAAGGGGAATTGCCCACTGAGAGGCTATACCTCTACTTCTGGAAGGTATACCAGTTACCCAGGGCCCATGAATTCCCTGCCCAGCCAACCTTGAGTCCACTTCCAGGGCCTGAGCAAGTTTATCCCAGGCCTAGTTTTCTGAAGGCAGAGCACACTGTTCCTGTCTAGGTCCAAGGAGGTGGCCAAGGGACAGCTGCTTGTGGGAGGATGAGGATGAAGCTTGGTTGTGCCCATACGTTTGGTGTGTGAGGCCCCCGTGGTGTGGAACAAGGTGGGGTTGAGGGATAGGGAGAGAGGCAGGAAGGGGGTGTGGAGGGGCCGGGGTCTGAAGACTGAAAACTGGCTGCATACCATCCTCTTTCAGCACTAATCCTAGAGATTTCCCCAAATTCTAGGTTTGGCCTGGCCTTCCAAGTTGTTATGTTTTTATAGTTTCAAGGAATAGGAGGAGAGAACATATTTATTTATCGTTTTGTTTGGCTGGTTTATAGTTTAAAAATTTAAACATATGGTGTGAGGGACTGTACTTGAATGCTTGTCCCAGGCCCTGTAATTTGGAGACGGTCCTAGAATGTACCATAGTGTTTACACTTTAGAACCTTTTATGTTTGTCCATGATTTACGGGCATATTTAAGAACTCTGCACTACAATGGGCTTTATTATAGACACGATTCATTTTTCTCTGCAAATTTCTAGTCCTGTTAACTGATGTTATCCTTACTCTCCAAACCACATTTTAATTTGCTGCACAGTTTCTTGAATTCATTGTGATTTCAAGAAACTTTACGTGGAAATCAGTTAAAATAGCCCAAATAATTGGTTGAAAAGGACTTGTAGGGCATAGCATTTTTAGAAAATTCTTTGTGTTTTTTAGAAATGTTTTTATATGTATAATCTCGGAAAGATTATCATTGAAATCATTTTCTTGATTCTGTGGTTTTCCATACATATATATATATATACATATACACACACATATATATATTCTCCTTATATTTATATTGTATATAAAATTATATATAACATGATGTTGAAGACGTGTAACTTTTCCTGAGAAGATGTGAACCAAACAAGAAAAAGATTTAGATAATACATTGAGGGCAAAAAAATAGGAACTCGGGCTGTGAGCTTTAATTGCATTATTTGTGGACCATATATAATATGAATTCCAGAGTCAGTTATGGTCTGACCCTCAAAAGCACAGATTCAGTCACTTCTAACCTAAAGAAGGATAGTCCATTCCTTAGCTCAATCTGCTATAATAAAATACCATCATCAGTGGGAAAGCTGAAGTAACAGACATTTAACTTCCACAGTTCTGCAGGCTGGGAAGTCCAAGATCAAGGTTCCAGAAGATTCATTTCCTGGTGAGGCCTCTTTTCCTGGCTTTGCAGATGGCTACTTACTCACTGTGTCCTCATGCGGCAGAGAGAGGGCTCTGGTCTCTCTTCCTCTTCTTTTATGAGGACACTAATTCCACCGTGGGGGCCCTACCCTCATGACCTAGTCTTATTCTAATTACCTCTCAAAGCCCCCGCCCCCCTCCAAATACCATCACTTTTGGCATTAGGGCTTCACAATGAATTATGGGGGACACGATCATTCAGTCTATAACAGTCCAGTATCCTGTTTTAAAGGTACATAGGGCATCTCTTTTGGAAGTTGCCATAAAGCTTGCAAATGACTTGTGGAATATTTGTTTAATATTTGAGAAGCTGTTAATTTATGTTACTTTCTCCCCTGTAAATTATATTTCCGATTGCTAAAGTTGGACAACACCTTTGAATTCTAATTTCAATATTGCCAATAAGATACACTTCAGTTTCGCTTGAATAGTTAAATAGTAAAGTTGTATCTTCTGGATGGATGTGGTCTAAAGAACTGTAGTTACTGTGTAACCAGGGCAGATGAAAAATTAACCTGTGTGTTTCAAAATATGTTTTATTGGCCACCAAATTGCTGCAATTAAGTTGACGCCTCTGTATACGTCATACATTGCCGTCAACAAGTACGATCTCCAGATGTTTTGTTTTGTTGTCATTAGTTCTTTCATCCTTGCTGACAGAATATTAAATAACCTTTTTAGGAAATCTAATGTATTTATCACTGAATCATTAAGTTCTTTGTTCACTTATTGATGTTGAACAAGTAGCACATTAGAAAATACTTTATGTGATTTAAAGACAATGCAAAAAACGTTTCATAGTCCATTTACTCAGCGTCTGTGATCCAAAGTATGTCCTTTAAGAAGGCCTCTAGAACTCGTTATTGCTTAATTCAATATAGCATAAATGTTGTGAAAATAAAAGAAGCTTTGTAAGTGAAAAGGTAGCATGATTATGCTCTAATAAAGCCTGACATTAATTATGATATGGGAAATGGAAGGTCTATTAGGTATAATTATAATTACAGGAATGCAATTTCAACTGCTGAGTATTTAAGCTAAAAAATTGCAAAATATTATGTTAGTAGAGTAGAAATTTCATTCAGGAAAAGGGACAAATCTTGGATCAGAAGACGCTGAGGAGATTAAAAAAAATTGATATTTAGGGCCAATTTGGTGAACCAGTACAGTGTGATCATGATTATATGATATTAAGTCCTCAGCAGTCCAATTGCATCTATTATTGTTGTTTTCCTCCTCTGCTTCTTTAGCCTAATAGTGCTGCATAAAGCAGGACACAGGTTTTTTGTTGGTTGGTTGGTCTTGAATCCAACCTGGTTCCTCTCTTTTGCCCCTATGGCCAAGTGACTATGTAAAAAGCATTGAATAAGCATTGTGCGCTTCATATGGATGCAATGCTCCATTTTCATAAAATCGTGGTTATTTTCCCATTTTCATGCTTGCATATGAGGTTTTGCAGATTCAAAATGCCCAATGAGGTAAATATTTTAGATACTCACAACAACATATTTTATTAGAATTGTATGTGTTCGTTGATTCGTCTTTTGTTTTTGCTTTTGTTTTTGTTTTGGATAGCTTCGGGTAGTATTTTTAGGAGGGTGGTGGGCACATGAAACTAAAGTTTGACTCAAGAAAATATCAGCACACAATGTTCATGTGCTTTGACTAGTAGGTATTTTCACTCTCAGAAAATTATCTTAAGGAAGGGGAGATGCAGGATGAATGTTTGGGGGGGGAGGAATATTACAGAGTAATTGAATGGTAATGTAAGTTATGGCTGCCAATAACAGAAATACTATGCAGCCATTAGAAGTCAGGTTTTAAAAAATATTTAGTGAAATGAGACTGTTGAGTAAAAAAAATTATAAGTGTAAAGCCCGACTTATGCAAAATAAGACTCAGGACATAAATACTGTGGTTATATATGCATGGTGCTATTATAGGCAATATTTATTTTGTCTGTAAAGTGCTTTGTCCTTCAACAGTGCTTACGTACTGCTTTCCTATTCAGACAGAGTACGTATTATATTTTAAAGTATCAGCCAATTTAGAATTGAAGAAAAAAAGTGTCCAAATTAATCACATCAGTCCTATAAGTGAAAAGAATGCTAATTTAAAGATGACACAGTCTCATTCATTGCAAACCTGACTTTCTATTCGTTTGTTTCCAGGACTGCCTTAGAGAGGGAGGAGAATGAATATGCTACTTGGTGGGTTTCAGGTTCATCCCTGCACTGTTCTTGCAGTACCATCATTTAATGCTATTACGTTCCTTTGCATTTTGGGGTGTCTTAAAAATCTTAACCTAGGAGTTGATTGGAGGGGGTGATACATTAATAAGGTGTTTTTAACACTCAGTGCCTATTCTATTACTTTAATTAGTTTAAAAGATACTTCCCAGCCCTGTGGTGGAGCAGTTTAAGCTAGGAGCTGGGAAGGAAGAGGGGAAAGAGAACTTTCAGGGACAGAATAAGGTTTCTGAAATAAGAAAAAGGGG